ATGCAAATACAATGAATAGATCACTAGGGTACCCCGGGGCGTGACTCCCTGTGTTTACCTAAAGAAGGTAAACCCCCTCAGGGGGACAGGTTGACGACAGACAAAAAACAGTTAACAAACGTATTCAAACAAACCAGGTAGAGCCGGACGTAAATGATCTCAAGCAAATCTTGCTAAACACGGAGAACTTAAAAGCCCAACTAAGTAGAAACAACGAATTGTTGGCTGCCATAAGTGAGAAACCTAACGAACCCACAACCCCATCCACCTATGCACAGGCAGCACAACAGAACCAAAAAACAGCTCTACTCCCAAACCCCAAAATCCCAACCACTGTCAACTTGCCAATTCCCCCCCAACAGGACAAACAGGATATAATTAGGAATCTGACCACCCTGAAAACCTCAGCAGCAATAAACAAGATTAACGTTAATCCTAAAGGCATTTCAATTAACTGTAACACTGATACAGATAAAACCCAACTAATAAAGAATTTGGAAGACAACGATTTTACAGTTGTCGTACCAAAACAGAGCAGGCAAAATATTATCATAACAAATGTTCCCACCTACGTAACCACTGATCAACTGTTCAATAAAATCCACCTAACCCTTAACACTAACCAAACTAATTTCCCCATCAATCTGTACAAGGTTAACAGACACAGGACAAACGTCAACTTGCAGCACTGGGTTGTCTCCGTTACAAAGGTGTCTGCAAACATACTCTGTAAACACCAATTCCTCTTTTTTGGCTTAAGTAAATCTAGGGTTTCTAGATTCAATAATATCAAAAGATGCAATAATTGTCAAGACCTTAGACATAGTGAACAACACTGTAACTACAGATCAATATGCATGCATTGTGCAGGTAAACATCACACGCAGAACTGCAAGAACCAAGACTCCTGTGTTTGTTACAACTGCTACTACATGAATGAGTGGTACAAACAGAGCCCAGACTGGTCCCCACTAGACATTTACCACAAGGCAAATGATCATCACTGTCCTACCTACGCATACGTTAAGTACGGCTATTGGCCATAATTTTAATTTCTAACTCCATCCTCCCAACTATCAATTATCTATCCTCAATTTTCAATCCCACAGTTCTTGTTTACCAACCCAGGTACACAACAACTATTTTTATCCACCAATTTAATTAAAACCAGTCAAAGGCTCTGATTGGACCCCATTCATAACTAACACCCTACTTCTATAATTATACTATAATCACATATCCATATTTTCCCCCTTCTTTATATTCGACCAATATAGCTTGAACTTATCCAAATTATTATTAAGAATTATATTGTACTAATCCAATTTATTATCTAGCAAAATATCTTGTGTCAATCCAACTTATAATTTAGCAACATGTTGTGTTTATCCTAACTCACCTTAACTCAACACCGATCAAATAGCAACTTAATCCAAAACAACATTAATATCAGTAACCTAACAATTAAATAATCAACATCCAATAAGTAACCTAAGCAACAAATAACATCAATAACAGTTTTTCCCATTTAAGGTTTAATATGACTAACAAACAAATTAATCAATCTAACAAAACAACAATAAAATGCCTCCAAATTAACTTAAATAACTGCAGAGCGGCAACAGCCCTCTCAGCCAGATACGCCCAAGACAATAACATAGACTTAATATTAATACAAGATCAGTACTTAACCAATAACAAATTATACGGCTTCCCAAACCAGTGGACCACACATCACTCCAATAATAAAGAGGCCTGGCTGGTCATAACTAAAACAACAACAATAAATCTAATACCAGCAACTGAATCAGCCGCCTTTGCAAACTTAACGACATCATTAGGTAACATAATTATCGGCTCGCAGTGCGTCAGGCCACACGCAGATCTATCAACAGCACTACATGAGTGGAGCGGCCTGATTTGGGACAATCCACTCATAATAAGTGCAGATCTAAACGCCAGGCCAACTCAATGGGGCTACACAACAACTGACAATAGAGGAAATCTACTAATAGACTTCAATATTGCCCATGACCTGATTAGACTTAACTTACAAACACCACTAACTACTTTTTATACGCCACACGCGAAGGGTAATCCCGATTTCATATTAGGAAATCGTGGCGGTTCCATATTAGTCAACGACTGGACCGTAAATGATACACATACTGCGAGCGACCATAGATATATCACGTTTAACATTAGCCATTCCTTAATTGCTCCAACTTCAAATCGCCTAAAAACTAATTTTGGCAACCACTCCAAATTTTCTAAACTAATACAGCGCGAGGCCACAGACCTAATAAATAACTGTTACAAAATCGACACAACGATAGAATTAGACGAGTACACCAGGGCTCTAATCAATACGGTTACCACAATAGCAACAAAGATCTATAAGTATAGGAAGGTAAAACACTCAACCACGCCCACATGGTGGACGAACAAACTAAAATATGAAAGAAACAGATTCAATGCTTTAAACAAAAGATTACAAAATAACAAAGATCAAATAGAATCCAAACTAAATAAACTAGAATACAATAAGACAAAAGCCCAATATCGATAACAATTTACAAAAGTCAAGGAAATATCATGGAAGCAATTCTGCAATATGCAATCAGACCCATATGGCGCAGCCTACAAACTGGGCCACAACAAACTGTTTAAACCAACAGACCTAAACCTAAAATTACCAAACAATAATATCCCAAACAGCAGGAAGCCCTGGAGTACCTATCAAGATTTCACTTTCCGGACAAAGACGGTACCATCGCGGACCAACCACCTCTACACAAGCAACACACGAACACTGAACCTCAAGCAGACACAAAGGAGGTGAGGGATGCTCTCTTTGCCTTCCTAACAACCAAAGCACCAGGTCCAGACGGGCTAGACTTCATGATTTGGAGGCGCGTTTTTGAGGCCGAACCGACCATTCTAACTAACTGGATAAACAAATGTTTAAACCTAACCCATTTCCCGAATAATCTAAAATCAGCAACGGTAGTGTTCTTCGCCAAACCTGGCAAAGACACGACACAACCAGACGCGTATCGACCGATCTGCCTTCTACCAACATTAGGCAAACTACTAGAGAAAATCATCAATCAACGATTAATCCACCTCCTAGAATCTAACAATAAACTCAGCAATAACCAATTCGGCTTTCGAGAAGGCAGATCAACAGAGTCAGCTCTAAAAATAGTAATAAACGAGGCTAATACAGCAAAAAAGAACAAGAACTGTAAAAATACCAACTATAAAATGTTAATTTCGGTAGACATTAAGGGCGCCTTCGACTCGATCCACTGGGATCAAATAATAAATAGACTAAATGAGCTAAACTGCCCGAAGCAGTTAGTTAACCAACAGATCAATCCTTTTCGACGGCGGTCTAGGACAAACAGAAATAAATACCTACAAGGGCTGCCCACAGGGTTCATGCCTAGGCCCACTCCTGTGGCTAATTATCGCGGATATATTCCTACAAGATTTTAATCAAGACAACGCAAAAACAATAGATGACTACGGCTTCATCATCACTGGCAAAACGCGAAGCGAATTAGAGACTAACGCTAACAGGGCCATGACAACCTTCAATGATTTCTGCTATAAATATCATTTAAATCTCTCAATTAATAAATGCAATTTTATGACATTCAAAAACTCATTTAAACAAAGGCCACCAATAGTAAGGATAAATAATCAATCTATTAAATCAGTAACTTCAATTAAGTACCTAGGGGTCGTCCTAGACCAGCACACAAACTTCCTAGAACATATTAAATCTTTAAGGGCAAAAGCGCCACAAATATACACAACCAACTAGTCAAACTAGCCCCGAGGACCTGGGGTATTCAAACCAAGCTACTCAAACTCTGGTACCACACGGTAGCAGAGAAAACCCTAACGTACGCATCAGCCGCATGGGGCACCAACTTAAGCAAAACAGCCATCAGTGAACGAAACAAAGTACAAAGACCACTCTTAATAAGATTAGCAAGAAGCTTCAAAAAAGCCTCTAACGCAGCACTTAATGTATTAACAGGCATTCCGCCACTTCACCTGCAAATACTAAAATAATCAATTATAGCAAACGCTTTAAGATTCAACACATCAAACGATCAACACAGTATTAATGCAATAGATTATCAACAGAAAATTAAAAGTAACTGCACACACCCAGCAGAAAAAATAAGCTACAAATATATCTCATTACCACCAAGCACACCAACTGATACAATAACAAATATCTATACTGATGGCTCAAAAACAGAACAAGGAGTAGGTGCAGCATTCTGTGTATACAACAACAATCACTTAACGGACACGTTTAAATTCACACTAAAACAAGACAATACTGTCTTCCAAGCAGAGATCTTAGCAATAAAAGAAGCCCTTAACTGGTTAGAAGCACAAAATTACCGAGAGGCCACAATACACACAGATAGTCTGGCTGGCATGCACGCGCTTATCAAAATAAAACAAAGGGACCCACACGTAGTAGAAACACAAAAACAACTAGTACACCTAGCCAGCAAATGTAACATTAAAATACACTGGGTGGCAGCGCACACAGGCATCATAGGAAACGAATCAGCCGACCAAGCTGCAAAAGACGCTACAGCCGGCAACGGACTACAAGCATCAATTAAACTACCCCCATCAAGTCTTAAAAACAAGACAAAAGCACTCATAGCTAAACTTTGGCAAGAACAATGGACAGAATCAGACAAAGGTCAAACCACTAAAACTTACTACCCAATGGTTAGCTACGATAGGTTAATTGGCCACCCAGCAGTAACGCAATTTTTAACAGGACACGGCTTCTTTCCAACATTCTTGCGCAGAATGCACCTAGTAAACACAGATGAGTGCCCATGCGGCGAACTAGGTTCACCCGAACACTACTTATACGAGTGTCCACTAACCCAACCCAATCATCTAAGAAGACCAAACCCAGCCCACTTAACGGCTTTTGCAGACAGCCTGTCAAACATAAGCATCATACAAAAACTTACCAAAATAATAGAAACAACTAAAACAATAACCGACAATATGTGAGTAGCGGCACACAATACATGCACACCCCACAATCAACCACGGACTGGCTCACAATAGCAGCCAACGTGGTTGATCACCACACACGCCTTCACCACTGACCAGTAGGCAGTGCGTCCGGAGCTCTTCAGCTACCCGTGAAGGTCATATTAATAAATTTAAAAAAAAAAAAGGGTAGTGACAAAGGGCCAGTCTCTCTATAACCATGTCAAAAACGTAATTTTAACCTATCAAAAAGCCAATAATTATTAAACCATGCTAATGATATCTTAACTATTTTTTTTAATCATATAGTAATAACAACCCACAATGACTTAACGTCCTGATAATAATAATAACTTAATAGATCAAACACGATCCAAAGCGATGCGAACTGAAAATAGGGACTAAAATACTTTTCTCATTATTTAGTGAACACCTCCGAATACTTCACGAATGAGTTGGAAGGAATAACCGAAAGGACCTTCCTGGAGGAGGTGGGCCAGTTTTCTAATAGGAAGGGAAGAGGGTGCGTTGGATAAAAGGTAGCACACCGGAGGACAGTCAGTTGCCCCACGGCACATAGGACACCCCTCCAAAGTGCTTATAATTGTGCTTTTTGTATAAATGTCTAAATAATACAGCTAGTCTATATGTTAACCACACACCACACAAACACACACAATCAACCACGGACTGGCTCACAATAGCAGCCAACGTGGTTGATCACCACACACGCCTTCACCACTGACCATATAAGCAGTGCGCCCGGAGCTCTTCAGCTACCCGTGGAGGTCATAGATGTTAAATGTGTCAAAAAAATTGTGTTGTGACTAGCTAGTAATATTGTAACGTGTTTGCTGTGACAGTGTTTTTTTTGTAATGCCGCTAGTCTTTATGTCTCTTCCAGATGATACTGATGCAGGGGTAAGGTAATAATTAACCATAATAAATGTTAATTAATGTAATAATTAGTCTAATTTACAAGCAACCTTAACCTCATTAATCTCTACTTAATAGTTTTAAGTCATAACCTATAATTGACTTAATTAGCATAATTATCTTGTTTAACAGTATTATTAATCTTTAGTACCTAACCAAGTGCTATTAATTCGCAATCATTTGCATTACTGTCGTTAGAGTAACATAAACATTAATTGCAATTAGCTCCGTAAGAGTAATATTAACTTTAATTTTAATCAATATAGCACTTTTAAACTTAAAATTGTATTGTATATGTACTAACCTCCTTCCCTTGCAGGAGCCTGGACAGACGGGCTTTATTGGGTCTGTAGGGTTGTAGGATTGGGCATTAGGTGGGCGGGACCGTACACGACGCTTCTGGGTGACGGCTGTGTGCTTTCCGGGTCCGACGGGCCTCGGTCTTGACGACCTCCGGAGTGTGAGGGAGATGGATTTATGCGGGGGCCGCGAAAAGCAGCAAACCCGCTTCGCGGGTCGGCTGGCCACCTGCGGTGAATAAACACCATCCTTAACTTGACTTAGTCTATTCCCCACGTCAAACTCTAAAATGGTTCACCAATAACATCAATCACTAGCATTTAACCCGTCCTACACCTCTTCGTGGTTCGAGGGTTGATTGATTGAATGTAGAGTTTAATGGCACAAAATCCAAATGTGGACATGCTGCGCCAAACAATATGTTTATACATGTCAAAATTGAAGTGCATACTTATTTTCCTAAATATAATTAAAAATTGATAAAATCATATACAAACAATCAACGGTAATATTGGAATAAAATCACGTCAAAGTTAAAACACAGTAAAATAGTATAAAAGTAAGAATATCCTTCTAAAAATGAATAAATTCATGAACAGAATAAACTTATATACAATTTAAAATGCCAATAGCACGTAAAAATGCAAAAATGTTCGGATGATGAGAGTCACCTAACAAATCTCCCATAGATAAAATAGAACTGCCAAAAAAGGCAAGACGATGTCTGTTAAAATACGGGCAAATGATTAAAATATGGTGAATCGAAAGTAAAACATCACAAGTGTTGCATTGAGGAGGTGGTTCACCAAACAACAAATGTAGATGGGTCAGTCTGGTGTGTCCGATTCGCAGACGGGTAAGCTTAACATCTGCACTACGTAGTCGCAACACAGGGAAGGGTTCCAAATTTGACTTATGAGCGTGCAACTTATTATTCACTTGGTTATCCCACTGCTGCTGCCATAAAGATTTTATATACTTTTTAATATGTATTTTTACATCTGAGAATGGTATAGATAAATTTAAAGTAGTAGTAGCAGATCGCGCTGCTGTATCGGCTAAATCATTGCCTGGGATTCCAACGTGACTTGGAACCCAGCAAAATAAAATATCGAAACCATTTTTATGAAGATTAAATAGCAAATGCTGTATAAAACACAAAATGGGATGAGTTTCATTGTCAAAATGGTTGAGTTGGCGCAACACGCTCATACTATCTGAGTAAACGCAGTATTTTCGATTCAAACTAGCTGAAATAAGCCTTAATGCCAACAGAATTGCAACTGCCTCAGCGGTGAATACGGAACACATAGTTGGTATTTTATAACTGTAGGTGTCGTCAGCAATAACAATACCACAGCCTACATAGCCAGGACATTTTGAGCCATCTGTGAAAACCGGAACATGTTGACAATATTGATGACGATGAGCTTTGTATAGTTGCTGAAAAATGATAGGCGCTACTTGAGACTTACTATATACTTCGAATGCAGAATGAAAATGATACTGTGAAACGTTCCAAGGTGGAATAAGCGAGTGATCGACACATTGTGTAGTAGATTCACAGATATTGAATGATTGGTTGAGCGAGCGCATACGAGCATTAAGAGGGCGAACATGTGATGGTCGAGCATCATAAATTCGTTCTAAACTTACTGGGAGTGTTTCCCGTTTAAGAGGGTGTGATGAGGATGAGATTACGTGATAATAATATGTTAAACCGAGCTGCATTCGTCTCAAATCTAGAGGCAATTGGTGACACACAGCATACAGGCTTTCCACTGGAGAAGTACGAAATGCGCCGCTACATATACGCAAGGCAGTATGATGCACTGTATCCAACCTTTTAAGGTGAGAAGCTGAGGCAGTGCCATATACTGCACAAGCATAATCAATACGCGATAGAATAAGTGCTTGATATATCCGTAGTAAGGCAATACGATCTGCACCCCAATGCGTATTTGAAATGCGTATTGCCATGTTAAATCGAGGTTCGAGGGAGTAACGTCCATGGACGGCTAACGTAGATGGAGGGACGGTGAACTGAAGATTGCATTGAGACTTGGTGCTCTCAAGACTTGGATTTTAGATTTTAATTGATTTTGAGAGGTCAAAAAAATTCACTAGTGACTGAGATTTGGATTTTGTTTTAAAAGTGATGTCGGATAGCGAGGAAGAGGTGATTCCAGAGAGTTTTGATGACTCTTTAGAAGTGAGTCAGAAAGAATGGGCGACATCGGGGGCGTTCCTGAGGGAGAAGTTCTGCAGATTTATGGAAAAACACGTTAAGAAATTGAGTGTGGTTGAGCATTCACAACTATGGTCGATCATGTTAGACTACGGAGACCTTCTCAGCAGGCATACATGAAGGGCTCCACTACGAGGCCGAAGAAGCACTAAAAATTGCACTAAAACGCAATAACAAAAAGAAAAGCACTTATGCTGAAGTGCTGAAGAGAAATGGCCCATATGGGGGAGCCGAAAGTAACAGCAGATTACTGCGTCAAAATTACCAAGTGTGAGGATGGTGACCCGATACAGCTTATTAAAGAGAATCTGGATCCGAGTAAACTCAAAATCAGTATCAAGAGGATCAAAAAGACCAAAGACGGAGGAGCGCTCATAAAACTCGAAAAGGAAAGTGATACTCGAAAAATAGCAAGCGAATTTATTAACAACACCGAGTTGAGTAATAATTTTTACTGCCAGGTAGTCAAGAGATGGAGGCCAAGACTGATTTTGTACTGAATTGAAGAGGGTTATGAAAAAGAGGATCTTGCATCCAAACCAAAGGAAGCAAATAAGGAACTCGAAGACGCAGACCTAGAGACCTTATTCTCAATCAGTGGAAGAAAAGGCACTCACTGGGTCCTTAGGCTTGATCCTCATTCATTCTCGAGCATAATTAAAAGAGGACGTGTCAGACTTGGTTGGCACTCCTATAAGGCCAGTGAATACCTGCGGCCGCTGAGATGTTATAGGTGCAACAGGCTCGGCCATATTTCTCGAGACTGTGGGCGCGAAGAATCCTGCTCCAACTGTGGTCTGAGCGGGCTTAAGGAAGACGAGTGTCAAAATAAGAGTAACTGCATTAACTGTAAGGAGGCTAATACGAGATTCCATTTTAGTCTCAACACAAATCATTGTGCGCACCAACAAAGATATCCCTCGATTCAGTGGGCGAAGGGACTAATCCAGAGACGGACCAGATACCACACTTAGGTCCAGAAGACGTTCCGGAATTGTGAGCCCAAGGCGATACTCAACCTATGTGACACCACCTCAAGAAAATGTATTGCGAGCTGAGTCTCATTTGATTTCAATTTTGTTTTAACTGATTTATTGCTTTTAAATGTTTTAATTGATTTTAATAAAGTATTTGGTGGAGGGGCAAGACGCTTTGCGGGCCTTCTGCCTGGAGGCTGCTTGATGGATCTCAGTGGATGACGCTCAACCGCTGTCGACCCAGACTTGTTGCCTCGACTTTGACGTCGTTTCACTCTTGTTGCATCCCTATCGGGATCTTCCAGGCCTCCTTTGCCATCTGACGCGGCAATTGTGCTCAAATCATGCGTGACTCGGGACCATGTACCTTTGGGTCCACCTTCTACTCGGCCTCAAGTGACTGGCAGGCTTCGCAACGGCGGGGTATCAAAATTTGGCGTATGGGCAAATTTGCCTAGGTCGCAACACAAATTTCCTTAACTTGTCCTGTGAATGAAGGAGACTCTTAAGATTAATGGCCTCACTTCAATTGTCAAAATCTACTCCGACTCCCTTTCGGGACTTCAGGCACTCGACAGGCCCAGAGAGACTGCTTATATAATAAAGATGATTAAGGAAAATTACAATGACAATATCCGAATGTTCTGGGTGAAAGCACATGTTGGCACTAGAGGAAACGAAGACGCTGACAGGCTAGCTAAACAGG